GCCCGGCCCGGCCCGGCCCGCGCTGCCGCCGCCGCTGCTGCTCCCGCCAGGCCGGGCCCGGGGGCGGCGGAACGCATCGGGACACAAACGTGTGTGCCGGGGCCTGTCACGCGCTTCGTGCACACGTTGTATGTGGTGTGTAGGCACCACACGCTCCATGTGTGTATATGGATGTGTATCATGTGCTTCACACACACGTGTATGTGTATCCGGTGTTTTGCACACACCTCTGTATGTGTATTTCACGTTCCACACACATTTCTGTGCCGCATGCTGTACATACACACACACATATACATGTGTTTACATCGTGTGCTGTGCACGTACAGACGTATGCGCTCAGTGACCGCAGTATGGGTGCACRCACGGCTGTGCTCTCCTGGGCCGGTTTGATGGAGCGGCAGGAGCGAGCGCCGCGGGAAGCGCTGGGAACACGCTGGGAAGCTCTGGGAACGCGCTGGGAAGCGGGGCCGGAGCACAGGAGCCTCTCCTGGAGCAGGCGGCGTGGGGGCCGCGCTCCCCCGGGCCCCTCGTCCCCAGGGTGCAGGGAGCCCAGCACAGGCCTGGGGACACGGGTGGCAGTGAGGGCCAGCAGGCAGAGTGACACACATGGAAATACTTGGGGATTTCTTTTTTTTTCCCAGGCTTTGTTCATAACAACAGGCCCAGTGTTCTCCAGAGAAGAGCTACATTGTTGGCTTTGCCTTTCACCACTCTGTTTTCAAAGTCTGAAGCTGCCATTAGAGTAGGATCTGCATGGGGTGTGATTTACATCCTCCCCCGGGCTCAGGTTTGTGGGGGAAAGCAGGAGGCCGGCACCCTGCTGCCCGCCTCCCTGCTGCCCGCCTCCCTGCTGCCCGCCTCCCTGCTGCCCTGCGCCGCTGCTCAAGTGATGTCCATGCGGGCTGAGTCCGCAGCCACCGCTGTGTTTCCTGCTTCCCAGAAAAGGTGCTGGTGGGAGTTACCAGGAGGCTGTTTTTTTATATTTATGCAGGCTTTTCTGTGCCCTGCAATCTTTTTTTTTTTCCACTCTTCAGATTCAATGCAAGAAGTATACAGGACTAGAACCACTGGCCTTCAGACCACTGTATGCGCTGTAGATGTTAGTGCAGCAGTTTGAGCAGCTGCATTTGCACATGCAGAGTCAGGCAGTAGCAACAGTAATGACAAAAGTTCTGCTGGTTTCAAAGGGAGATTGATCCTGAACTTCGTATTTTATCAACACTAATTTGTATGCTACTCCTTGCTATATTAAATTCTGGGTGCTTCATTTTGTGAGTTGACTTGAGCAAGGTTTTGTGGAATAATAGGAATAAGAAAACTGCAGCTATTTATTTCATTATATATGTAATATTTGTATTTCATAAATAAAACAGTTCACCTATCACCTTTCACCTATCAGAAGTTCGCTGTTGATAAAGCTGTTACCGATTTTCTTCATCAAGTTTTGGGCATGAGACTTTCTTGTTTTATATTGCTTACTGCTCACAGCTTTTAAGAAGTCAATTGCTTAAGATAATTTTGAAGTTATTTTAAATGTACAGCTCTATTGGAGTTACCCGGTGCCCACAGGCAGAGCCTCTATGTCAGCCCAACTCATTTGTGTTTCACTTTCTGCTTTGCAAGAGCTGCAGGAGGATGCCAGGGCTTACTGGCCTTTGCAGACTCTCAAAATGGGTGACCCACGTGAAATGCCATGTATTACCATGTTGTGTGAAGACACCCAACCTTCCTGTCATCCAGTGAACACCCTTAAAACTTATCTCCATTTAAACTGCATATTTTTGCAATTTATACTGTGGAAAATCTGTAGATATTCTTTATTATTCTAAGACTGAGAAAACACTGAGAAATCCCTACACTGGCATACCAGAATGTCATGTGTTACATAACACATACTGTATTTTTGGTAGGAACTGCTGCAACGCCTTGAGGCAGAAAGGGACCTTCCTTTTGGCAGTTCCCTGTGTTGGGATATATATGCAAATACTAAAAAAAGAGTGCAAGCCTTTGGTGAGATGTTGGAGACAGCAGGACAGCAAGAGGTTGGGTGGCGACAGGATGTCAGGTTATTTAAGAATGAAACATCTTTTCTTGCTTTTACAAGGTGATTGCTCATGGAACAGTGTGTGAGCTCACTTTCTGTGAGCAGAGATGAGCAATGTAAGGGAAAGGTTGCTATTAGTGAGCAAATATACTGAGCAACTGAGAAGTTTTTAAATGAGGAAGAGTAAGTTACTAACATACAGTGTATAATAGAAGAAATGTGACACAGTCAAGCAGCATAGGACAACATGTTTTTAAACCCAACCATTTATCTGGATGGTAAGAGTGCTTTTGTATTGTAGCAGTTGTTAGGAAAAACTTGCTTTTGAAATTATAAAGAAAATAAAAATAGCATCTGCTCTCTGAGGAGGGGGKTCAAGCTGTAGTTACAATGTTCTGAAGAAAATGTAGTTGTATTTTGAAATGCAAAATATGGTGCAGAACTCTTCTCAGATGAGTGTTAAAACTAGCCCTCAGTAGGAGATGTGTCTCTGTGAAAATGACATGAGATTCAGCTTTGTTTCATTCAGCATTGCAGACTAGATACAATGTCTGTTTTCTCTTTAAGGAAAGAAGGATTGTCCAAGTGTGGAAGATGTAAACAGGCTTTTTACTGCAATGTGGAGTGTCAGGTACGTGTGATACAATTTAAAAGAATGAAGGTTGAGTTACTTAACTCTATTTATTGCTGCTGTGGCATTGATAGTCCCTAATCATTTCTGTGGTTAATAGCAGGCCAGTCAGTTTCAGCGTCCCACAGATGCTGACCACAGAGTTGTGCATTGGACAATTACAGGGTTTGGAYATGGTCTGCATGAGTCTTTAAAGATCAGTAGCTCCAGGGCTTGGTACCACTGAGACTTTGATTAGAGCTGCCTGTCAGCCCACTAATTATGCCTGTATTACTTCTTTCTTTAAGCACAAACCAGATAATTTAACATAACCTCACTAAACTGGTGTGAGAGTCTGTGTCTAATGGAAAAATCAAATCACTAAAGAGCTATTTTGGGGGCTTGTTTGTTTGTTTTAGATTCTTCACAAATATTTTGGATGGCTGCAGCTGACAATAGTTGTAATCGCTTGAAACTTACTGTGCTTTTTCCCTGACTCACTCATTCTGATCACTCTTACTCTTTCATACACTGCATTTTTAAAAACCTCAAAACAATAAAGTACAAGTGTGCTGTAAAGTAGAGCAGTATGGTGGCAACTGAAACACTTAGGCAATTGTCATTCCTTTTTATTTCATTGTTCTGAATTGTGTTATTTTGTTTTAATTCTTTGTTTTTGTTTTGTTTTAATTCTTCTATTACCTAGGCTTTATGTGCGGTGAGATCCATGGGCAAGAATCATGCTGTTTACATGAGAAAAGCTCAGGAGGATTGCCAACTAAATAAGGAATTAGGCAGTCAGTTATTGTGACAGTTATTTGTGTGTAAAATCTGAGGTGCTGATGTATGGAGCAGCACTTGTAAAGGATTTAAGTAACCAAAGGCTTGATGTGCAACTACATGTTAACCAGAAGCAAAGCAAGCCTCCTCCTTCATGGCAACGTGCTGTGCATGTGTGGGTTGGGTGCCAAATATTTCCCGTTCTCATTATCTGGTCTGAGATACTGCAGTTTGTGCTGCTCAGCTCCCAATTGCTTTGGAGATTGGAGGTGGACACTGCTTTTATTTCAAGGGTGTCTCTTCCATTGCGTAAGGTGCAAACTTAGCCTGGCCTCCATGAGTTCAGGATCTATCTTTTGCCTCCTCAGGTTCCAGYGTCTTGACATGCRTGAGTGAAAGGGCTGTCTGATTTCRAAGCAGTAGCAGGGTTAAAAATGCTACTAAATGCTTTTTTTAATGAGATTTGTAATAGTTTATGGAATATTGAAAGACTGACAGTGCAGCAGTTGCACTGGGAAGAAACACCGGGAAGAAAGTGAGGCCTTACTCTATGGCTTTCTTTAAGGCTCTTGAAAGAAAGCTGGAAGAATTTTAAAAATGGCATTGCTAAAACCCATGGTCCCTTCATATGATGTTACTACCATATGACGTTACTTTTAGAGAGCTCTTAGCTATGTGAGAGAAAGAGATGATTGAGCAAAGCATTTTATTGGCTCTTCATCGCTTTTCAGCTGAGATTTTGAGTTTGTTCTCTTGCAACATAAAGTTCACAATGTTTTGTGAAGCAGGTAACTATTACTGGTAGATGAACTGAAGCAGGAATGTTCAATGAATTGGCACAGGAAGAATAACAAGTAGGTACTCTGGTAGAAATGGTAGAACTTCCTTCTGCTCATCTACAGCCCTTTGCTTTTACTTCTAAGTCCTTCTCTCCTTTCAGTGTCTTGGCTTCTGTTCTGCAGAATTAACAAAGTTAAGTAAGAACAGTGATTCTGTTTCCCCCCCGCTTTCACCTGGATAACATCTTGTCCTTCTTTTCCTGTTAATTTATTTCTTTTCCTTCTTGTTACAAATACTCTTTGTTATGGTGTATCGATTTCCAAGAAGGAAATTTCTTCAACTGTTCATACTCAGTATCCTTAAAGCTGCAGTGTTTCCTCAAGTGTAACCCTTAAATTGCAGCTACAAAGTGGAACTGCTGACTGCTTGATAAGTTAATGAATTAAAATATTTTCTGCCTTTTGCTAAATAGTACAAAGTTTTAGATTAAAAGGCATTTGATAATATTGCATTGGTTGGACAGTAGTATGGTAAGCACAGGGACCAGCATTTGACTCCTAGTGCTTTGCATAGGGCTTTTGACTTTCTGGCCGATATCACCCTGTCTTCTTTTGGGCTTTTTTGAGTCAATCTGAAACCTGYGAATGTTGTTGAGTTCGAATTCTTTGACATTCTTTCAAAGTTACCTTCAAGGACGATATTCTCTGGAAACCGGTCTCCTCTGTCTGTACATGCTGCACACAGTCTGCGCTGCATTCTCCATCCTTGTCTTGTCCAAAGGCAATTTTCAGCAGTTCAGCAATTCTTTGTCAAAGCCAAAAAGGACGTTTGTGATACTGAACTTGTAACACTGGGATATACAAYAAATGTTTCTCTTTTACCTGCACTGATGTGAGACTTTGTGCTCTGGGCCTGGTTATACTAGGCTAATACAAGTGTTGGACTGTCAGCATCACACATGGGGGGTGTGAAAGTGAATGTTGTCTTCCAGTAAAAGTTGCAGCCTTGATGATTTGTGGGTTTATTGGATACAGCTGAGGATGTAGCCTCAGTTTGCTGCCTCTTTCCTCTCCCAGCCCCTAACCCACCTCCCTTTTTAAGAGGGTTCATGAGCTGCAGCTGAGATGAGATCCATGCTGATCTGCTGTTCACCATTGCTTCCTCCAAGCACAGGCCTGATATGGTCATAGTGCCTTTCACACCCCATCTGCAGCTGTGCAGGTCTTGACTTCTTAAATTATAATAATTTTGGTCAAACAGCAGGAGATTTGTACTTATTTTTCCTCCTCAGAAATTAGCTGTTGAAGCAGAGAAATGATCTCTCTGCAGAGGACTATTCTAAGAGGGTTACATGGTTACAAGTGTGGAAATGATGAGCTAGTTACTGGGGTTCCTCTTTTTGCTGCAAGGTTCTGCACGAGAAGCGTCTGCGGCATTGAAGATCTCTGCCTTGGCAAAGGATCTCAGCCCAAACTTATTCTCTGTGTAACTTTTACTGTTTGAGTATTAAGGTGTTGTGGGTCTTTTTTTTCTTTTCTTTTTAAAAGCTGAACTATATGTGAGTGTCCTGGGAATTAATCCAGTAGTCCAGGATGCTGAAATCACTTTGAAGAACTGATGGAGAAGATTGTTTCCAATGTTTTGATGTGGAAAGCATAAGCTTTAGAGAGCTTTCATTCCCAAACTATTGTCACTCAATCTTAAATGAAAGGAAAAATACTGAGAATGTAATGAAGATAGGAAGAATGTCTAATTGATGTTGCATTAAGGATTCAGCTAGAACAATGCTACCTGCTATATTTCACACTGCCTAGAGAAAACATGGAAAAGAAGTGAAATGCAGCCCTACTGTGAGAGTGGGGGAAGCTGCTGTCACCGTGTTTCCTTCCCAGGTTTTACTCAATCATCACTGCTCTCTGTTCTCAAAGTGTTTGGGGCTTTTATCTCCTTTTGCACGATTCAGCCGTGTCTTCTCCCTTTAACCTCCCTGCTAGTTCATATAACTCAGTATGATTCTGCCTCAGGAAAGATTTTAATTAACAATGTTTAAAGAAGAAAGGGAACAAAAGGATTTTTAAAACACTGCTTTGAGACAGGCACGTGATTTTTGTATCTTAGTTTTGTTTTACTGGGTAATTGCCTCTGTTTTTTTCCCCTGTGTGTGTGTGTGTGTGTGTGTGACAGAGTGGTACAAAACATTCGATTCCTGCATGCCAGGAGCCCACGTGGAGGCTGGTGGATGTTGTGGGTGTGCAGCGGCCTGCAGAGGGATGAGGCCTTTGACCTTCGCCTTTAGTCTTTATCTTTGGTGGATTCCTCACCAAAGGCTAGTGGGAATTTTCCAACTAGAGGCCTCCATGCACGGGAAACAGGTCTCTCTGGGGACACTTTTTGTGGTGTGGCAGCTGTAGGACAGTTGAGAGTGTCATTGCACATGACATGATGCTGTGTAATGTGCTATTTTAGTTCTAGTGGACCGTATGGCTGTGTCCTCTTAAAAGTTTTACACTTGAGCTTATTTCATGCAGCCTGTACATAGGATTTTTTTGGAAATAATATATTATTTAGGATATTTAGGATATTTAGGACAGTGAACGTGACCTTGTCAGAGCTTGAATGTCTTTGCAGTGTTGTACTGCTTCAAGCTGCATGCAAGSCTGGTGCAAGTTTTTAAGTTTCTTTTTCCTAATGGGATAAAGTCATGAACTATCTATGTCCTAGGCAGTTAAACTGACCATTTGCAATGGGAGAATCTGTACCAAGTCTGAGATTGTCTTCTCTGCCTTTGTTTGGATCTGTGTGRTAAGTGGTCCAGCTGAGCCAGGAGATACTGCTGTGGGGGCCTGATTCCCTTGGCTGCTTGAGGTGCCTTAGCTGTTGGCTGTTGCACACAGCCTAGGATGCCTCAGATGGCACTAGATGTCTATGCTTAAGCAGCTGAGAGAAACACTGTGTTTCTTCTGCTCCGGGTACCCGGCACTCAGCCACTCAGATGGGCTATTGTTTTATTATTATTATTATTATTATTATTATTATTATTATTATTATTTTCTTCCTTTTTTTTTTTTTTTTCCTTTTTTCTTTTGTGTGAGCTAACACAAGGGTTGTGATACTGTGCGAGTCAGAGTAAAGGAATTAAAAGSTTTCTGGAGACTGCAGAGGTGCTTCAGATTTCACTCCGACCAGTTATAAGTTTATGACATTTGTTGTGATTTCTTTCCGTTGCTGCCATTTTCCAGCAGATTAAATCTCATCTGAAAATGTAACCTGATGTTCATTTCACAGGAGAAAAAAAAATACAGGTTTGTTATAACACATGGCTTTAAGTGTATGTCAGAGTTGAGAATCAGATACAAAGAAYTGTGCAGTGGTTTGTTACCGAAATCAGAATGTTTCTGTATCTGAATAAAGAAGTGAAGCTTGATGCAGCCTGGCAAAGGCTTGTGCCAGGCTYTGAGTAGCACCATGAAGTGCATGTGATTCAGTGCTAATCTTTGGAAGTTTCTGTTGCTTTGGAAGGAGTCTGTAGAGTGCAGAAATCAGTGGCTTGTGCCATTGCTCCGTGTTTTGATACATGCTGAGCTAGGAATATAATAGACATTCCTAACTAAAATATGTTTGTTTTCATTTGTCATGCAGTGTTTTTGTTGACTTAGCTCTAGTCTCATTCTACAACATTTAGGGGGAAAAAAATCTGATAATTCTATTCAGTAGGWCCGTTTCTGACCTTACATATACTGACTCTTGTCGTAATTGTGAATCCATTGACTTCAGACACTTTACTCCTGATTACACCAGGGTCATGTCATAATGAGGGACCAAGGTATTAAATGGAAATGAACCCAATAAAGCCATCAAGCTTAGGCCTGTTCTGTCCTCACGTGCTTGATCTGAACAATAAGAACTGGTTATTTATAAAAYCATGTTGTCTGTTTGCTTCTTCAGCATTTAATTCTTTTTTTTTTCCCCACTGAATAAATGAAGATGTTCTGACCTTAACTCGTCCCTTGGGTATTTGTTTGAAAATGCGGCAGGATAGCTGCACACCTCAAATGTGACTCAAGCTTTTGTTTGGTTTGAGTGAGCGTCATCTTATTCTTGCAAAGGAAACACATTTCACTTGACCTCTGGGATCTGGCAGGACTTGCTGCATCCTCTTTTTCATCCCTTTATCTTCATGGCCGATGTTTTTATGAATATTTTTGTGTGTTTTCAGAAGGAAGACTGGCCGATGCACAAGCTGGAGTGTTCGGCCATGTGCGCTTTTGGGCAGAGCTGGAATCCCTCGGAGACCGTGAGGCTGACGGCGAGGATCCTTGCCAAGCAGGTGAGCAGAAGCCCGGCCTGGGGAGCTTCGTTCCTAGTCTGGGTGCCAGGGGAGGCAGGAAGATGAAAATTGACCTAAAGTAACTGTCCCTACAAAGTGTGTGCATGCCAGCATCCTGTGGACAGATGAGTGTAATGTAGAACACAAGCAGCCAAAAGAATTGACAGTCCAACCACTGCAGCAGTGTTAGGGCCATGATGATCCAGCCAGAGACCTTGTGGGGAGAACAATAAAAGGCTGATGTGCTTTTGAGCTATGTATCTTACCAGCTATGACCAAAGTAATGTTAGCGAGAGTCCAGAAATTAAATAATTTTACTGATACTGTCATGATGTGCATGAGGTTTCATCTTCTGCTCTGTAGATTGGAGTTCTCTATTACATATCTAGACTAACAGTAAGGCCAAATCTGTGGAAGAGAAAGAAGAATTAGACTTGGTATGTATTATTAAATACTGAGGAGTGCTGCTTGTGTTATCTGACAACAGGCACTGATAGGTTTATGAAGCAGTTGCTGTGTTACAGCTGATGCGTTTTGTGCTGTATATAACTCCCAGTGCATATGTGAGACTGAATCACTTCTGAGATATTTGAACATGAATGTTTATGACCACTGGTGCTAGCTGGTGAAAGAGAGCTTGAGAGGGAAATCTCAGATGTTTGGTCTTTGGAAAGAGGGAATGTCATTAATAAGGAAAAAATATTGCAGTCAACCACCTTTCAGTATTGCTAACTGAATGGAAACTGTGAGGACAGTGTGAGTGCTTACAGGGGGATGGGTTCCATGAGTTTCAAGGTTATTACACTGGGTATCTTCGTAGAGCTCTAAATACTCTGTGAAAAAATAAATCCTCTTGGAAGCGTATTTGTACGATCGAGATCTGCTTATGTGACAAGGACAACCTGGATTCTGTGTGAGCTCGGGATTTGGATGACCTGCTGCACACTCCCTGTGCGTGTGCACGCGTGTGCGCGCGTGTGTCTCAATTACAGCACGGTTTAATGGTGATTCACAAACAAAATTGGATGTTTAATGACAAAAAGTCATTGGAATAAATTTGTGCTTTTATCGCTTACAGGGAGGGGGGAGAACCCTACATGTCATATAAAAGCTAAATATGCAAACCATAGTCCCTGAACCTCAGCTGCTGGGCCACCTGCAAAGCCATATTTAATGGCCAAGATTACAAAGAAGTGGCCTTAGGCCAACAATGGAGCAYTGCTTTTGAACTCTGTCAACAGTCAGTTTATTCACTTTCCTCAAAGCGAAGCCTGTCTCCTGCCTGCTTGCTATTGTTAGCAGCTTTCTGGGTGTCTAGAACAAAGCAAATGACATATTTAAAATGCAGTTCAGTTTATGTATATAAATTTGATAGGAGTTAATCTTTGACTGCCTAATTTGGGGCAGAGAAAATATTTCTATAGCTTTAGAAAGGTTAGGCTGTTTAACTCATTGCTATTCATTGACTTCCACCCAGTGTGGATTTG